GGCGGAGTGTGGCTTTCAGCCTGGAGGCGTCGAGTCCGAGGTCGCCTGCCTTAAAAGACGCAGGGCGGTCGAGATCCATAAGCGGCTGTTCGTTCTTTTTCATGCTTAATGCTTGAAACGCTTTCCTCCTCTGAGGGAAAGGGTTGATGTATCGCCTTCAGTCTTAAAAATCAAATTTCGATTTTAAAACTTAAAATCTGATAAATTTATTGTGGTTTTTTAGATGGAAAACCCTGGCGACTTGCATTGTGCCATCGCAGAAGAATAAGTAGAACTGCAGTAGCTGCGAAAGTGCAGTTTAAATAATTCAGGAAATACAGTCCTCACGGTCTTTAAGGAACCAGCAAAACATACTTGTTGGGAAACTCAGGAGCTTTTGGTTTGTCATTTGTTGTAGGGCTTTTCCGATAGCTTTTCCTCCTATTGTAAAACAATTGGGACGTCGTTGGGATACACTTTATAAATGAGCTTAGAGAAAGAAATCCAGTAGGTGTAATTAATGCGTTGGGGTTTCAGGAAGGTGCAGCTTACGCTTCTGATGGGGTTAACTCTGAGAAACAGAATGCATTCTGGGTTTTGTGTGTTCTTGTGCTTGCAGTTCATTCTTTCATGCTGCAGGTTGGTCTTGCTTTCTGAGTTTATGCACAGCCTTTCCATACTGTCAACTGAGCGTAACACTTTAAAGACTTTACTCAGTGTTTGCTGTCATTTCTGAGAGAAGTCTCTGGTCTAAGAATACATAAATGTTGTAAGTGGAAACATTTTTATTTCTAGTCACTCTTTGAAGGTGACATTTCCATTGTCTGATACGACTGCTTGTACAGATTGAGATCTAGAAGACATATATGGCTGGACACTTTGACCTCTAAAAAGATTATATCTCCCCCCAGTTGTAAATGAATTACTTTCAAGCTTTCTTGGTACGAAATTGCGTGTTCGCGGATCTCTCATTTAGAAGCGCTCAAGGGGTACGTAGGGTGTGTAGTCTTCTTAGGAATATTAAATGAAAGACCTCCCTGTCTGGAAAAGGTACAAACAGGAGTGCTCAGAAGAGTGCAGCTGCTTCTGTGTTAAGGGCTCAGCTTTGAAAGGAAAGATTGTGAGGCAGGTAGGGGGGAGGTTTGTAAACAGTGAAAGTGACAAATGAATAACAGAAAACAAACCCCATCATGCAAAAACTGAGGTTCATGTAGTATTGCGGAAGGAGAGAGAGTGCACTTCACTCATAAGAGAGAAGCAAAAAATAGACTTTATTGATATAAACCAGTGCGTTAACAAGGTTCAATGGTAAATGCGACAGTGGCTTAATAAGATTCGATGGCAAGGTACACTTGATTATTTACTGCATAGAGGACAGGGTCAGACAAAACTGTCAGGGAGACCCTCCCACTGAGTCGTGAGGTTCGGAGAGGACCCTGAACTTGCTTTCTGAACTCCTTCTCAGAGGGGAGTCTAGGTGCAGCTGGATCCAGTCCTAGTCCCAGACTTGGTCAGTGGTTTATGTCTAAAGGATTATATATGCACAATCAATCCTTTATATCACTCAGCTAAGATTTCAGAGTTCAGCATGCTATTAGTCACTTACCAAGGATCTGTTGCGGCAAGAAATCTCTCAACCTCGAGGAGTGACCTTGAGAGGCGTCCCTACTCACGAGAAGATCCTGGCATGCAGCCCGCTGCTGTGCAGGACTGCTCAGCGGGCCCTGGGATGTCCACTATTTATAGAGTAAGAGGATTGACTTCTGGCCATATTTGCAAACCAGCAAGACTTCTGGGTCACTGCTCCAGCCAGCCCTTGGCTACTGTGTTGCCACCCGTCCCCAAAGTCCCACACAGGCTGGATGCAGCCATCACCACCCCCACTGGTGTTTATGGCTTATGGGGGGCAGGGAGGAGCACACCGCCATACTCTACCTCAGGACTGCAGTCAGTTCATCTTCCTTTCATGGAGCGGTGGTACCTCTGTGCCATAGATAGTATATAGATCCACAGTAAAGGAGACAGTGAAGCACTGCTATTTAGTTACACGTTTTGTGTTTTGGGTGGTTGAAGTTGGGTTACTTGTTTTATGATGTACCAAACCCTTATATAGGATACAATTATAAGCAATAAACTGAGTTAGTAAAATCACAACTGGGTGAAGCATAAGATTAAACACTCCCATTGCTGTTGGTGACCATCCAGGAAGAGTTTCCCACCTATGGTGTTCTCCATCCTTCTTCACTCTTCCCAAGACATTGTGTATCTCTTCTGTATCATGATGAATGGTGATTAGAGTTTTGTGCCCATTGTTTTGGATGCATTCTATCAGCTGACGCAGGTCATTGTGTTGTGGTAGTTTCATCACCAATGTAAGATTCATTCTGACACAGGTAGGCAATAAATCTTGAGTCAGTGTATAATTAGATTGTAACAATTGATAAGATGTAACAGGAGCTGAATAATTAAAGGCATATCCCATGATTTTAGTAAAGTTACAAACACAAATATTTGAGCGATTGCTTGTATTTACAGTAATGTTATCTACAAATATAAAATCGCACAGGGGTCTCATACAAACACATCCTTTTCCAATAGATACAAGTACAGTTTCAGGGGCTCCATCAGGATGTATTTCAAAATGATGTTCAGTGTCAAGACAAATATCTTGGGCTTTGATGGTGTTACTCTCACAAATAAATCCTCGTTCCTGTACAATGCATGTGTTAACACCAACAGTTTGCCGTTTGTTCCTGTTTCTTTGGGCCAACGCACTGTGTTCTAACGGATAGAGCATAGTTCCATTCGTTTTTCTGAGTATATTTCAGTTTTGTGCATGACCACGGTGGAAAGATTTAAATCTCCCTTACTAGAGTGCATTCCCATACTCCCAGTGTACTTAACATGAGCTTGAGACCAGGGGTCGTTGACCACAGGTTAAGAGAAGC